CTGGCCTGTATTTTCTGAAGTGTCTGGGGGCTGTGAATAGTCTCAGTTTTGGGGTTTCCTGTCTGAGGCCCCTTGAGTAGACTTGATTTTTCAGAAGGCCAATTATTTTGGCTTACCTAATAAGGACTTTCCTGTTAAAGTACATAATGAATTAAGAAATCAAAATCAATGTCTTTTTTTTCCTCTCCTCCCTGCCCCTTTAATTTAGTTTTTATTCCCTGTATTCCTACTCGTAAGAATGCCCCTGTGTTGATAGGATCTCTTCTGTTTACCTTCAAGGCGAGATCCATCTTGCCACAATCTGCATCTGATTAGCAGGAAGTGTCTTAGGTCAAATAGTGGATTCGGATGTAGGAATTTGGGGCTCAAATCCCAAAGGCGGTATGTGTGTAAATTAGGTAAATCAATCTGTGCTGTCTGAGCATCCCGTCTGTAAAACCGTGACAGGGCTGCTTAGCCACAGAAGGATATTGTGGGAATGGATTAACTGAACGTACGCAAAAAATCCAAGTCGCTGTCCGTGAAATACGGTCCTTCAAATGCTAGAAAATATTCTAGCATTTCCTTCCCAGCATGAACAGAAACTCTCTTCTCTCTGATTCATTTTCCATCTGCCTGTAGGGCACAGTAGGGAGGGTATGGATGAGAGGAATCTGGGGTGGTTGGTGGAGGTAAGGAGAGAACTAGACTGGATGCTGCTCGGTTTTATTTATTACCGAAAACTGTGAGAACTTGTTGCCAGTAGCCATCTTCATGGGAGATTCCTGCACGCACACATGGCCTTTTTCTGGCCTTGGTTCTCCAGTTGTGTACTGGAGAGAGAAGCGTCAGGTGTGCAGGCTTTGCTTTTGGATATTCAGGATGAGTTTTTCATAATGTTTTAGAAGAACCTCCCTTGAAGACTTTTAAAAGTGTGGCAGCACTTGTTAATCAATATTTTGTATTGATGTTCCAGGTGGGTAAATTGAGAGAGAAAATCCAAGAGGTTAAGCAAGAAAGGGAGCAGGAGCAGCACAAGCACACTGCCTACGTTTCTGAACTGAAAGCCAAGCTCCACGAGGAGAAAATGAAGGAACTTCAGAGTGTCAGAGAGCTACTGATCAGGCAGCATGAGCAGGAGGTAGCGAGAATGGTGAAAATCAAGGATGGTGAAATTCAGCGTTTGCAGTCAACAGTCAATGTCCTGCGGGACGGGGCAGCTGACAAAGTGAAGACAGCGCTGCTGAGCGAAGCGAAGGAGGAGGCTCGCAAGGCGTTTGACGGTGAACGGATGAAGTTGCAACAGGAGATCTTGGAGCTGAAATCTGGCAAAAAGCAGCTGGAAGAAGCTTTGAACAACATTATGCAGGCGGATAAAATGAAGGCTGCTGACCTGCGCACGGCTTATCAGTCCCATCAGGATGAGATTACTAGAATAAAGCGTGAATGCGAGAGAGAGATCCGCAGGCTGGTAAGTTCCTGAAGTAATGCGTGCTTATTTCAGTTTATAGCAGGTATTAGTATATTGCTGTATGTGCCCATAAATATCAAACCACTCTTTTGCAGTGACATCTTTCATCAGTGCCGGTCGCTACAGCAGGCCACTGTATCTGCTTCATTCTCCTCCTTACAGCAAAGGTGAACCTTGGCTAGCCCAACCCAAAGCTTTATGTCCCACCAAATGGGATATGAGTGAACCGAGACTTTCCAGGACGAATTTTCTCAGCAGATACAAGAAATAGACTTTCCTTTTCCCACTTGCTCAACTATATTTCCTTAAAGTCCTGTTGACCAAAACAGTTGGGTATTGCTCATTTGGCAATGCAAGAACACCTTTGTGAGATGGCAAATTTAATATTTCAGAGAGATTTTATATTGAAGGAACAAATGGTGCTGAAACAAGACAATGTCTTTGCTGCTTCTGCCTCATTATCCAGGTCATTCGATTTTAAGCATTGTTGCCCTTTTTAATTTTGTAAAATTTCTGTGTTTTTTCTATTGCAGCAGAAAAGTTAGGGCCTAGGACAGCAGGCTTTTTTCACGCTTCATAAACCCTAGGACTTCATCACAGATGACAGGCTATGCTGTTTGTATTAAATCGAAAACCGGGCAATATTTGTGAACAGCACGTGCTCCAAATATTTCAGATTATTCAGCTTTGTAAAATGTAAAGTACCTAAGACGGGCTGTACGCAGTAGTACATTTAGAGAGTTCATCATCAAATGACGCTTCTTTTCAGTACCATATTTTCCATGTATATGTCTATGTCTGATTGTTAATCTGCCTAAACTAGCAGTACAACAGCTATGCAAATAAAATCTGAGATTATAATAAGCATAATATTTATCATATATCGAGTATGATTCCATTTAAATGGAATGAAACATCAGTTTTCTTAAGAAAAGTATTTTAACAGTTTGTGTTTACACAGGTATGTCCTCTTACTTCTTGTATTCCTTAGGTAAAATTATGGTAAGGGCAAGGTAGTGTAGTATCTGTTTAATGGTGGTGATTTTCTGTCTGAGACAGTGAAAGCTTTTAATGCAGTTAATATTTATGCTAATATTTATTTATAAAATGAATATTTAAATAAATTGGATGTTGATCAGGTCTCAGGGGTATAATTTCCTTGATTACTTAAAGACCACTGTCAGGATTGACAACGTGAGGTTTCTGTAAGCATAGTTTCTTTCATATTTTGTTCCCTATCATAAATGTTGAATTTTAAAATTACGACTATAAAGTACAGGTAATTTTAAAAAATGTTAAAGAGGAGAGAAGATTTCTGTGTTGTCGCATGTGTTTTTCTAGAGAACAGTTTCTAAATCAATTTAACCTTCTCAGAGGAGGCTACCTCACCAAGAAATGGTGAGGTGAGGCACATAGCAGTGCACCCCAAATTCTGTCGTCCGATTGCCCCAGTAAACACACCTACACCGTGTCTTTGAGTGGTATTGTAAAGGCAAGGCTTAACTCCTCCCTTTCAAGAGTAGAAGCTTTCAGCCTGTTGCGGTGTGAAGGCGATGAAGGAGGGCACTCAGGGTTTTCTGTCTGGCACAAGTCATTCATTCTGCGTCATTCAGACTTTTAATTGGGGCCTTACTGGGCCTCTGTTACTCAGTACATCTAAAAAGGTGACTTTATTGGGAGAGTGGGTAGATAACTCTTGTTTCCTATTCCCAGACCCAGAGGAAGCCTGCCATCAGTCTCATGGGCTTTCACTGGAAATGTTTGTATCTTCCCCACTCAAAAAAATACAGGGAAAATATATCAGGAGCCTGGTGTTGCCTTGTAGTGCCTCGACTCCTTTCAGATAATGAATTTCAATTTTTTCATTAAATTGTATGATTTTTTTTTTTTTTTAAATGAGAGAGAGTTGTGTTTCTTCTAGGAATTCGTAGCAATTTAGGCAGTTGCTATTGCTTAGGGCAATCTTTAAATCTGAGGCGAGGTAAAAAATACTGCAGGGTTCCTAGATGCTGTTCTCCTCCTCTGGGAGACCAAATGGGATTATTATAGAATCAGATCATCAGGATATTTCCCTCCCCGCTCCTCCTCCCATTTTAATTAGTGCAAGGGATGCTTGCCTTCAAATTCAGATCAACCCTATCAACTGCGAAGTTGGGGTACTCGTTTGGTTTAGTTCTTACCCTTGTGGGAGGGAATGGCAAGCCTGTGGCAGGCAGTGTTAATAATATTAGCACAGTTCTGTAACGGAGCTACAATTAATGTGCTTTTGTTGTATGTGTGTTGTGTTTTATGGAGCTACTGAGGAACCAGCATCTTTGGTATTAACGGTCTAAGTGGGCTGGACATACTGTAATTCAAATTCAGATAGAGTAATTCAGTGTCTGATTGTCTTGTCAGGCTTAGCTGATTTATTTTGCATTTTGGATCACACATTAGTATTGCAGATGGATTTCCATAGATACTGCAGCTAAAAAACCCGAACAAACAGTATTTTTACCATTGATTTTAATACCTGTGACTAATTAGAGTGAAATATTGTGGGTTTTTTTTGGCTTGCCATCAAAAAAAAGTAGTGAGAAAGGAAAAAAGCAAAATACATTGTCTGTGAATACATGGAGACTATTATATTGTGTGCATAAACAGCCAGGCTTCTATTGTACAAATGTCAGTATTTTAGAAATATGATTAGTCAATTTTGTATTCGCAATTTTGAATTGAACCATGAAAAATACCCAATAAGCCTCAACACAAACAAGATTGAATAGGGAAGATCATAGTGCCTAATAAAAGAAAGTAAAATAGCTATTTGGCTAAAAATATAACGCACTTTTTCTCTGTGCAGTGTGAAATTATATTGGAATTTGTCAGTTCCTATAATGACTTAATAAAACATAGCTAGAAATGTTTTCATTAATTTAAGGAATGCTTGTGGACATGAATTTTTAAAAAAAAATTTTTTAGAAAATATATTTTCGTTATATTCAAAAAGAAAGCATATTCTTGCTCTATATATGCATCAGCACAATGTGCTGGCAGCTAAGAAACTGGAAGTAATCATATCTAGTAATAAGCTGGAGAGACAAGTGAAACAGCTGTTTTAAAAGTAAAGTGACAACTTGGGCAATAAGAAAGCAAGAACAGCTATTACTGAGTAATATTTTCTGTGTAGTTGAGTCTGAACAGTTGGACTGTTCTGTCAATGTAGTATGAAAACTATGCTGATATAAGTTCAGATATTTAAAAACAGAAATAACATTAAAAAACAGCAAATAGGAGAAAAGGAAGAAAATCAGAAATAGCAAACTGAAAAATCATCTGCATGAAGGAAAAATGTCAAAGCCTGTTTTTATGGATTTTTTTTCTTCAAAAAAAAAGATTTACAAATCCTAATTCTACTTTTCATTCATGGAGCTTCAATATAAACAGCCCTGAATCATACGTTCAGCTGAGGGCTGTATAGGCAAGCATATACATCCCTAAATGTCACTTTGATCCAATGTCACTTGGTTTTTAAGATCAGGTTTAAAGTTAGTTTTCAGTGGTAAGTAAAGTTTCCCTCTCTTGCCCGAAATTGCTGAAATAGCATGTTCAAATTGTTGGTGAGTTTTGTCAACAGACCAGCCTATTCTGTTATCAGCGCAGCTGTGAAGGAGGGCATGAATATTAAGTATATCATATTAGTTAGACGATACATGCAGTCTGGGACTACCTGGATGCTGTTTTTAAAAAGGCTTTTACTTTGCAAGGCATGTTTCTTCAGATACTCTTTTTGGAGAGATAAGAACAATGCACACTTGACAGTGCTTCCCTTGGAAAATATATGCAAAAAAAAAATCATTAAAAGTATATCAAATAAACAGACGATACGTCTGATATCCTTTCACCTATTTTATGGATAAATACCATTTGACCTTGTTAATATCTTTGCATGTATGGTCTTCCCAAGTATTCTTAAACAGCTTGGATTGAAATGAATTGAAAGACTTTAATACACTTAAACACTTTCTCTGTTGATACCTGTTTTTACAAATATGTTGGACAATTCTTGATCCATGAGTGCATGCTTTATGTTAAATGTAAAGCTCAGCTATTTCACTTCTAAAGGGGTATGTTTGTCAACCAAACTTGACTTTAAGAAGATCTGTATTCCTCAAAGCCTTATTGCCTGGCCGCAATTATGTTTTTGTCCTATAATTTTGTATTGATTGATCTCAGACCCAAAACTCTTGTTTTCCCATTGTTTCTCCTAGGATTTACTTTAATGTAAAATACTCCCAGTTTTCTTAACCACAAAATCAATGTAAAAGATTGCAGTGATCATCTCAGCTGCACAATGGGATCCATGTTTAAGAGGGCACACAGTACACCAGATGAATTAAATTTGCTTGTTTCAGTTGTATTCTCAAATAACCTAATGAAAATTGTTTGAAGAGTAATGTGATATTACTGCAGATTCATACTTGCAAGGAAGAAAAATCCTTTTACTGTTAACAGAATCAAAGAAATTGTTTTCAAGAGTGATTTTCAGGAGTTCCTGATCAGCCATGATTTATGAAGATAGATGCACTATTTAATTGTCTTTAGTCTTATTCCAAATTATCTAGTTGCATAAATTAAAAACTCCTTCCAATGTGGAAGCCTTCTTTTGTTTGGTGTTTGCCAAACATATATAATGCAATACCGGGAAGAATAGCAGTTTTCAAAGGTAAAAATCAAGGTGATTTCACTGAAACTTCTGTTCAAGGGAAACCCCTCTTATGGAATAAGTTTATGTACCATTTATGTAGTGATTTTGTAAAGTATTATTATTTCAGTTTTGTGTCTGTGTATATCACTGTATCTCATGATTTAAGTGAAGGCTTTTGAAAGACTGAGTGTAAAATCTTTTCAGGATTAAAAATTAGATTGTTCCAGTTGAGGGCAAAAGCAAATTTAAACTCAAGTCCTCCACAAGTTAATGTTTTCTAGGTTTGCACCGCTCTTACTCTGTTTGTCTGCCT